AGACACAGACATGGGACAGGTCATCCTGGAGATGTGGTTTAATTTTACAGAACTTAGCTAGGCATGGGGTCAAGGTGGAAATTAGCAGAGGGCCTGGGTACAGGTGATGAGAAGGAACACAGATAACAAGTGACACAAGAAAAAGGTATAATTAAAAAAAAAAAGGATAACAAGTGACATAAGAAAAAGGTATAATTAAAAAAAAAAAATAGAAACAGCGATTTGAACCAAAGACTGCTGAGAGGTTGAATTAAAGTGAGAAACGTGAAGTGACCATTGGATTTGATTACATAAAGGTCACTGGTGATGTTAGCTGAAGTAATTTTTATAGAACATTCTTCATTAGTCGAGATTTCTTAAAAAGCAGGACTGGTAGGATATTTACGTATATTAAGACATTTATTGCAAGGAATTGGTCTGTGCAATTGTGGGGCTGGCTAAGCAAGTGTTAAGTCTACAGGGCAGGCCTTTGGAATGGGCAGCCTGGATATTTCAGGTAAGTGCTAAAGCTGCTGTTCAAGGGAAGTCTATTCTTCATTGGGAAAATCTCAGCTCTACTCTTAAAACATTTCAACTGGTTGAATACAAATTGCTTATATTTGCTAGAAAAATCTCCTTTACTTAGTCCACTGATTGTAGGCAATAACCACATCCTAGAAATATTTAGAGTTTAGATAAATGACTGGGGACTGTAGCCAAGTTGACTCATTAAACCATCCATCTGCTGTCTAAAGACTAAAATCAGTAGCAATGTGAAAGAAGGTGAACAGGTGGAGATAGCAACTGAAGAAGTTGTAGAGAGAAGCTATTGTGTGGAAGAGAGGAGGCGAGGAAGAGATAGTTGTTACATAAAACTGTAGGGCTCTCTTCTTTTTGTTTAGTTTGGTAGCTTATACAACAAACTTACGTTTCTAGGAACAATCTAGTATAAACGAGTTATGATAAGATGACGCTGGAAGAGTGTGACTTCAGAAGACATGCTGAGGTGTTGATTTTAGATGGAAACTAAGATAGGTGTTCTTTTTCCTTTTGGGAAAAAAAGAATGGATGCAGCAGGGCTAGTGATTGAAGATTATAGGGTTCTGACTAAGGTTCATCACTGAGAAGGGCATTTTATATCCAATATCTCCCCGAGGTGGTAATCTTCATATCACTGGCAATGATTACCAGTAGGCGATTTGTTTCCCTAAAGGTTTCATAGATGTGGAACTACATGGAGAGAAATAGGACCGGACTGCCTCAGAGTCAGGAATTCTAAAGCTTGGTCCAGAACTGAGCTTTAGCAAATCTGTGACCTCAGTACCATAGAAAAACGGGCATGTTTTTGTGAGTTTTTTTGTTTGTTTGTTAGTTTTTTTTTTTGTTTTTGTTTTTGTTTTTTTTTGAGTAGAGGGTTCTTTGTTGCCATCGGGTTCTCAAAGGGATCTTTTTACTAGAAAAAGCTACATGCAGCTTACAGGTCTCCTTCAGTCCTACAGTCTATGACTAAACTGACTGCAACACTTTCTTGTGCAAACAAAGAATATGAGTGGACAATGGGGATGAAAAATGAGGTCACCTCCACTGACTAGGCAAAAAGCAAAAAAGTATGAGGACTGTGAGAGAGTAATAAGATAATTACGTTAATATGGATGGTTAGCATAATAATATAAATAGATCTTTCTTTTAACATGAAAGCTTCACATTGTGTTTAAGATTAAACCCCCTGGTCATGATGATTTATTAGCAAGAGATGAGGTAACAAGAGAATTTGGATATCCCAGAGGCCCTTGGATAGGAAATGTGTACCCTCATAGGTGTTCTGTGTCTAGAGATACATATAAGGGTTATAGTAGAAGGCTGTCCTTCTAGGCCTATTGTTTTGTTGATGCCTCGCTTTTAAAACATTCCTTTTCTATGACTAAGTAGCATTCCATAGTGTATAAGTGCCATGATTTTTTTAATCCACTTTTCAAAAACTAAAAGATAAGAAGATATAATAGCAAAGAGAGCAACTATAGATACTAGAGACAGTATAGGAGGGAATGGGTAAAAGGGGGTGGGAAGGAGGGGATTGGGGGAAAAAAGAAACATTTTAGAACAAAAAAATTAAAAAATTATTTGTTGATGATAATGTATATTATAATATCTTTGACTTGGCCAATATGCACTGTATTCATGTTGGGAAAAAACATTTTGTATGCTGTAAAGATGTGCAGTGATTAACTGTAAATTAAAAAAAAAATTAAAAAATTATTTGTTGATGATAATGTATATTATAATATCTTTGACTTGGCCAATATGCACTGTATTCATGTTGGGAAAAAACATTTTGTATGCTGTAAAGATGTGCAGTGATTAACTGTAAATTAAAAAAAAAATTAAAAAATTATTTGTTGATGATAATGTATATTATAATATCTTTGACTTGGCCAATATGCACTGTATTCATGTTGGGAAAAAACATTTTGTATGCTGTAAAGATGTGCAGTGATTAACTGTAAATTAAAAAAAAAATTAAAAAATTATTTGTTGATGATAATGTATATTATAATATCTTTGACTTGGCCAATATGCACTGTATTCATGTTGGGAAAAAACATTTTGTATGCTGTAAAGATGTGCAGTGATTAACTGTAAATTAAAAAAAAAATTAAAAAATTATTTGTTGATGATAATGTATATTATAATATCTTTGACTTGGCCAATATGCACTGTATTCATGTTGGGAAAAAACATTTTGTATGCTGTAAAGATGTGCAGTGATTAACTGTAAATTAAAAAAAAAATTAAAAAATTATTTGTTGATGATAATGTATATTATAATATCTTTGACTTGGCCAATATGCACTGTATTCATGTTGGGAAAAAACATTTTGTATGCTGTAAAGATGTGCAGTGATTAACTGTAAATTAAAAAAAAAATTAAAAAATTATTTGTTGATGATAATGTATATTATAATATCTTTGACTTGGCCAATATGCACTGTATTCATGTTGGGAAAAAACATTTTGTATGCTGTAAAGATGTGCAGTGATTAACTGTAAATTAAAAAAAAAATTAAAAAATTATTTGTTGATGATAATGTATATTATAATATCTTTGACTTGGCCAATATGCACTGTATTCATGTTGGGAAAAAACATTTTGTATGCTGTAAAGATGTGCAGTGATTAACTGTAAATTAAAAAAAAAATTAAAAAATTATTTGTTGATGATAATGTATATTATAATATCTTTGACTTGGCCAATATGCACTGTATTCATGTTGGGAAAAAACATTTTGTATGCTGTAAAGATGTGCAGTGATTAACTGTAAATTAAAAAAAAAATTAAAAAATTATTTGTTGATGATAATGTATATTATAATATCTTTGACTTGGCCAATATGCACTGTATTCATGTTGGGAAAAAACATTTTGTATGCTGTAAAGATGTGCAGTGATTAACTGTAAATTAAAAAAAAAATTAAAAAATTATTTGTTGATGATAATGTATATTATAATATCTTTGACTTGGCCAATATGCACTGTATTCATGTTGGGAAAAAACATTTTGTATGCTGTAAAGATGTGCAGTGATTAACTGTAAATTAAAAAAAAAATTAAAAAATTATTTGTTGATGATAATGTATATTATAATATCTTTGACTTGGCCAATATGCACTGTATTCATGTTGGGAAAAAACATTTTGTATGCTGTAAAGATGTGCAGTGATTAACTGTAAATTAAAAAAAAAATTAAAAAATTATTTGTTGATGATAATGTATATTATAATATCTTTGACTTGGCCAATATGCACTGTATTCATGTTGGGAAAAAACATTTTGTATGCTGTAAAGATGTGCAGTGATTAACTGTAAATTAAAAAAAAAAATTAAACATTGTTTTCTGAAAATGTTCAAGATATTCATTCCACTAGTACATCCCCTCTGTGTAGGATTTTTAATTTTTTTATAAGACTCTCCACAGTTTACCTTGAGAGAGGTAAATTTTATTAAAAAATTAAAAATTTTAATTGCTCTCAAGGTAAGCTGTCTACAGTTTATCTTGAGAGCATACTAACATTCAGCATTTTGGGTCTCTCATCCGCAGGAATCATAATTCAGGATATATATGGAATGGGGCAAGGAAAATGCATTTTTATGGAGCACTTCAATGATTCAGATGCAGGTGTTTAGTAGATTTCACTATGGAAAACAGTACTAGTGTGTTACCCATTAGCTACCTCTGCAACCAAAAACAAGAATCTATGGAACTAATTTATATGAAAATGCTGGTGATCAAATGTGTTTATTCATTAGGGGTCATTGGGTTTTAGCATAGATGCAGGAGAATGTCACTGCTTAAGGCACAAAAACAATTTATTATGATGCAATTTTAGATTTTAGTATAAAGCCTGCAGGGGAGAATTACAGAGATGAAACCTTCCCTGAATAATTTTTACCTTATTCTAGAGCAATCATCAGTTCTACTCATGTTTACAGCCCTCCTTATATGCAAGAGGAAGCCCTGCTTTCGAATGCAGTACAAACAACTCACAGATGAATAGATGGATACCATAATTCCAAGAGTAAAGCATTCTGAGTTTCAACAAATGGGATGAAATGTTTTTTCTCCTCCTCTTCAAGAACAAGTGAAAAAGGAGTATTTTCCTCTCGTGGCTTTGTATGAGAGGAAGACTTTGTAATACCTCACTCTACTTCTGGGAAAGAACTGAGGGTAAATTTTTCTTTTATTGCCAAAGACAAGTGATTGCTCAAACCCCAAGAGCTCTTGTCTTTGAATTTTGTGTTGAGTCTTCATTGCACTATCCCTTCCAAGTTCCTTCAGCCCTAAATAGAAGAGCTTTTTTACTTCTGGGTTGAATTGCACATTTTCAAATACATATCTATCAGTTATTAAAGTGCAGAAATAATTTAATGTAAGACAATTTTCACTTATAATGTAGCTATACTGATCTGAGGATGGTGCCACTTGTGAGCACTGGCAGTGTGGAATAGCACAATCTCGTACTTACTGTAAGAACAGCCATAGACCTCCACCCTCATGCCAATCTTCCCACTGGGATTCCATTCCAAGGGCACAAAGCGAACAAACCGGGCTCTCACTGAGTGTAGCAGCTTGTGGTGCACCACGCTGTCGGCATTCATGTTCCCTGCAAAGGTCTGCAGAGAGAAAAGAGACCCAGTGAGTTCTGTGATTCCCAACGAACATCCATGGAAATCTATGTGTATTACTCTCCCAAGTCCTTTAGCAAAAATCCCGTTTCTCGGATTTTTCCATATGAAATATAAATTGGTTGAAAATCCTACATCATGTGTTGTATTTTTTTCGACAGGATTAAGAATGTTCTCCCTCCAGTCCATCAGATTTCTTTTTTTTTTTCCCTATCATATAGGACTTCTATTATGCTGTGGAATGTCCCTTCTACCGCAATTTTGCTGATAATCTTTACCATAAAGGATGTTCTGTTTAATCAGACACTATTATATAATTTATAGATATATTCATGAATAAAGCAATCCTAGTAAGTTACAAGACATGACACCTAAGAGCTTTACAAAATTAATAATACAGTGAAGTCCCCGATATTCCTAATGTTCATAATCATTGTGGAATGGGAGACAACTGACAATCTCTTCTTAGAGGGAAAGGCTGTTATTGAAGTAATTGTTACTATTAATTGAGGCCAGTCGCTATGCTAAGCATTTTCCATGATCATTATTAACCTTTAAAAGATAAAAACAAAACAAAATGAACGAACAAACAAAGACCCCTGAAGACTGGAGAGAGAAAAGGGAAAGGAAAAAAAAAAATCTTCAAATCACGCAATTGCCTAGTAATTGGTCTGAGATTCAATTTCAAAGTCGTCCTATTCCGAAGTCCATGCTCTTTCTACTGCCCCACATCTTCAACCCTTTCATTGTTAATTGTTACAGGAGGGAGACAATGCAGCCCAGATTTGTACGTAGTTCACTTTCATGTTTTCTGGTGAAGTTTAAGGAAAGAAACACACAGCACAGGAGCTATTTGGTTCACTAATATTATGCCTCATAGCTTTTATTTGAATGAATGATTATTGAGGAAAATTAGTTTTCCTGTAGGTGGAATCCAAAGGCTCATACCTAATATTTTGTTGTTGTTGTTATTGGGCTAAAATATACATAACATAAAATTTACCATTTTAGCCATTTTAAAGCATGTAATTCAGTGACATAGAGAGCATTCAGATTGCTGTGAGGCCGTTACCACTATCAATTGCAGAACTTTTCCATCATCCCAATCATACGTCAGCTCTAAGAAAGGATGTCAGCTATCATGCCAATTTGCTTGCTTTCTTTTGAATCATCATCTGACTTCCTTTCAACTTCAGATATTCATAGATAAAGGCTGCTTGCTGATGTGCAATCAATGCCAACCAATAAAAAAAAGATCCATTTCTCTCTGAAATGTCCAAAGTGAACTCCAAGTATAAGAATTTTGTCTATGTTGTTTTTATTTTATTTTATTTTTTGAGAGAGATTTTTGCTGTAGGGTTCATGCACTTGCTAGAGAGACAGAGAAATGCAGAGAGACTTAAAGTGAGAAATGACGCCCCCCCCCCGGGGGGGGGGGGCTGCAATCCTTCTCCTCCATTCTCCTTTTGGGATTTTGGGCATGCACACACATGCACACAGTGTGAGTTTTAAGCCACCGGGTCTGGGACTTAAACCATAGAAAACTATATGGGAGTTCAGCAACATAACAATTATGCCATCTGCTGTTCCCAGGATTTTGCCTATCATAGAGTCCCTTTTCAAAGATTTAAACTTTAACCTTTATTGCATTTTCATAACACCTGTGAATCTAGGGTATCTCGAACAATCTCTGACATTTCTTCTATACACAAAACACCCACAAGCTAATAGCTCTACTATTAGGCAATTGGTATAATTACTATTAAGTATTACGAAGTGGCTTATAAAACAGGACAACACTCCTTATTTTGCAGCTGCTTCTGCAGCAAGATTCACACATAAGAGAATGATTTGATGGACAAAGATTTCTTAAGCTTCAAAGGCAGTATTTCAGGCCACAGATTTGTTAAAGGTTTGGCCATTTTTTCTCCATCTAAACAAAGAATGAGGATTGTTCTCCTAAGTGTTCTGCTCCCAACTTTAGCAACTGGCATAGGTAGGAAGAAATCCTCTATCCCTTGCGCAGCTAGAAAGAACTTCTGAGTAATCTAGTTCTTATATTTCCTTCTTCCCATGTCTCTTTCACATGTTGGGAGGGAAGGAAGGGAGACAGATCCTGGTGATTTCTCATTGTTTGAAATGGATTGAAGGTAATTTATATTTCTTTACAATCTTACTGGAGAGCTTCCATTCAGATTTTCTATTAATTATGTATATTATGTCTCACTTCTCTAGGCACATAAAATCTAGGCCTCTGTAGCATTATCTATCTCACCCAAATGTAAAATGGGAATTTCTCTACAGTGAAAATGACTTAGTGCTCCATCCTAGGTTTTGTGTAATTTGTAGACTGAATATATATAATATTTAATATTCAATTATATAACTCCAGATAAAAAGGTTAATTTTTATGATTAAGCAATGTTTCATATGAGTCTTTATTATTATTATTATTATTAATCCATATATGGTGTGCTCCGATAGAAAGATTCCTGGGTTCTCATTCAAGGAGGCAGCATCCTCTCCTGGCTTTGTGACAATGGACAAGCAATAACCTTAGTTTTTCTGAGTCTCACTATCTTAGTCTTATGATCATAGTCTCAAAATCCTACTCTCCAAAGCCATATCTTTTGCAGATTCATAGTCTCATGGACTTAAGTCTAAGTAGACCTATGGCCTCTTACTATGGATCTCAAAGTTTGCAATGTATGATCCCAGGGCTATCCTGGAACTGGAAATCTAATATCACCTCAAAAGCACTTAATGCTAGAAATAGATTGAGCCTAAACAAAACTGCACTCAGTGTATCACCAAGTTTGCCAGTAGATCAAAGGCGATCAGTCACATAACCATGCAGGAATTTGTGGGCTGGAAAAAAATGCAAAGAGAAATCTTACCAGTGTCCTGGCCCTTGAATTCCAAAGCCCTATTAGTAGTGTCAATGCCACTGTTTAATCCAAAGTCATCTCCATAGCTGAATATAACATGTGAACAAGAGTGGTAACCAACTTATCAGAAACAATAGAGACAAAAAATGTTGAATATAAGAAATTGTCAGTCTTGGGACCAGCAGTTAGTGTAATGGCTATGTCGCTGGACTCCCATGTAGTCGACTGTGGTTCGCATCCCGGACACGGTGGCTTAAACTCATGGCAGGTGCATGTGCATGAGTGCCCAAGATCCTGAGAGGAGAATGGAGAACAAGGGATTGCAGCATGGCCATCCCTCCGGGCGGGGGGAGGGGGGTGATTTCTCACTTTCTGTCTCTGTCTCTCTCTGTCTTTCTGGTGAGCACACGGTGCCCTATAGCAAAAACCTCTTAAAAAAAAAAAAAAAAAAAGAAAGAAATTGTCAGTCTAGTATTCTATTGCCGGCAAAAATAGCTTGCAAATATAAAGGGAAAATAAAAATTTGCTTTAAACGAAAATAATTTATTACCTATAGATACCCACTGCTAATAAATGCAAACAAATAACAACAATAACAAAATAGTTCTATGAGCTTAAGACAGTGATTCTAGATTGCATTTTTAATGTACATAAAGGAATGAAAAGTCCTCAAAAGTGAAAGAGTTAAAGATATGCCCCTCCCTTGGGGGCCAGCAGGTGGTATGGTGGATGGGGCGCTGGACTCCCACATGGCCAACCACAGTTCAAGTCTCTGACCTCGAGGTTTGTTTTCTCACTTTCCTCCCCTCTCTCTACCTCTCTCACTCTGTCCCTCTCTGATCATAAATAAATAAATAAATAAATAAATAAATAAAGTTAAATAATATAATTCTTTCAAACAAATGAAAGATATGCCACTCTGAAATATGCCAAATTCATGCAATGATTATTTTAGCCAGACAGGATTTGAAAACTAGTCGCAGAAAGGGTAATATGATTTGCCTTTTCCTACATCTAGTAAAAATTTCTTTAAGGAGGAATTTTTTCTTACCCATAGCAGGTTGAGAAAACAACTTTTATCATTATAGACTGGAAATTATTACTATAAGGGGCCTGTACAAATAAACTCACTGAAGAAACCTTAAGCTTCCATTCCCTTTGTAGCCCCCATTCACATATCTGTTAGTGACTCCCTGGAATTTACTGTCCCTGCTCTCGCTCACTTTGTCCTTTTTTTAGAGAGATTTTTGCTGTAGGTTGGGTGTGCATGCATGCCCAAGATCCTAGGAAGAGTGGAGGTGAAGGGATTGTAGAGTGGCTATCCCCTCAGTGGGTGATTTCTCACTTTCTGTCTCTCTGTCTCCATCTCACACATGCCCTATAGTAAAAAATCTCTCTTTAAACAAACAAACAAAAAGGGAAAAATGAGCTATCCATGAGTTTTAGGCTGCTAAGTCCTGGACTTGAACCATGGTCAATTTCGTGGGAATCCAAAGACATAACCATTACACCATCTGTTGGTCTCTATTTTGTCTTTTTATTTCTTCATAAACATATTATTCTTTATCTAATATGTGTAAAAGTGTTCTTCTGTCACCACTTGGTGGATCCTCATTCTCTTGGGAGGATCTCATGTACATGCAAAATTAAAACTTGCGTGCTTTTCTCCCCTTATTCTGCCTTGTGTCACTTTGGTTCTTAAACCCCGCCAAAGATCCCGCTTAGGGATTAAAAAGGGTAGAGGTGATTTTTAGCCTCTTTACTAATGGAAAACACATAGATAAATATAAAACCTCAAATATTTGGAGGTTAATCAACACACTTCTAATTAACCATAGGTGAAAGAAGAAATCATGATGGAAACTGAAAAATAGATTGAGTTAAATAATGATAAAAATAAACTTTATCAAAATTTGTGAAGCACAGACTAAATGTATCTTAGGAGAAGAAGTGTAGCTTTATAATGATTTTGACACACGGTGAAAGATATAAAAATAAATTCTAATTGTCCTCATCCAAAATGTAGAAAGACAGTAATATTACTAGACTGAGAATGTTACTAGATTGGGATACTGCTTAGCAATAAAAAGTAGCAAAGCACTGAAACCTGCAACAACACACTCCGATGAATAAAAGAGGCCCCTCCAAAGAGCGTTGTTCTGTGTCTATAAAGCACCAGCACAGGCAGCTCTGATGACAGGAACCAGATAGTTCTTAGGGTGAGGCTCACAAAGAATATCCATCAGTTTATTTGGTCATAGTACCTTTGTGAAGTGGGCAATCTGTTCTATATTTATTTTT